ACCAGCTGAGTGCAATCACCTCCTGTAATTGCGCAACTGTTCCTGATGCCTAGTAGCTCTTAGATGGCGTGCATCCAAATAACAACTCACTACTGGCTTCCGGATCACGCTCCCTTGTCTCCTCCCCACTGGTCCAAGGCTCGGGCGCCTGCTGGTGGCCAACCAGCCTCTCTGCGCCCTGCTCGGAGTGGGAACCCTGTCCAGGGTCCTCCACATCCTCCAGAGCCGACTCATAGGGCCCCTCACTTTCGGAGTCTGGTGGCAGCTCCAACGGCTCCTGCTGGGCCACAACACATACATATATGGTGCAGTCGAATAAGCCATATAACATCAAATCTCAACTTTTTACTTTGACATTGTAGTTTAAACTAGCTACAGTATTTCGATCAAATCGCTAAAACTCAAAATTGAAGTTTGTTTCCCCACCTCCCCCACCTCAAGCACAAAGTCCAGAAGCGGTTTCCAAGTAGAAATAAAAGCGTTCCCATTTCCTGTTCTTTGATCAAAGCAGTCAATTTAGCTATCTCGGCTTACTCCCAACATACATGAAATATATATAAAACGAATGATTCTAGATTCTCTTCCTTTCCTTCCCTCCAGGAGCGTGTCTCCAAACATCTCGAACAGGTCTTCTCCGCTCACTTTGAACGTCACAAATCCTTCCAGCCATACAGACTGCCAAGATCCATTTGCAAATGGAGCAGACATTCAGATTAGCAATCTGGATTACCGGCTTTCCCGAAAAGAGCTGGTACAAACTTTACAGGATACCTTCACTAAACACGGCAAGGTAAACAATCCCCGTCCATCATCAAGGCTGCTGTTTATACACAACTTGCGATGTGGGTGTTTTGTTTTAATTATCCAAATGCCTTTTAAATTGTTTCAATTGCTTTAGCGTTTTAGAATTGTAAACCCAAACATGATTTTTTTTAGTAGTTCCATAAGCAAGTCAGTACAAATTGCTGCAATTCCATTTTGAAGATCGTACAAGCTTCCAATTTTGCTTTCTTCTAGCACTAGCAATAGCACTTAGACTTATATACCGCTTCATGGTGCTTTATAGCCCTCTCT